GATCCTCCCACCTTGACCTCACTAAGCGCTGGGATTACAGGCATGAGCCACCGTGCCCACCCACTCCTCTACTCCTAATCTCTTACCTTGCTCTGTTTTTATTTTCCATAGCACTAACTTCTACCATATAATCTAAGTTCATTATTGTTATTTATATTATTATTACTCATTGCCAGTCTCCTACCTATCTCAACTAGAATGTATGTTTCTACATCTATGAACACAAAAGGACTGATAGTGAACATACTCAAAGGCGACCTTTGGCTCTGTATGTGTGTATATATTTTGTGTATTTGTTTTCTATGGTTTCTTTCCTTTTTAATTTATTTTTTATTTTTTTGAGATAAGGTCTTACTCTTTCACCCAGGCTGGAGTGCTGTGGCACAACCATAGCTCACGGCAGCCTTGACCTTCTGCACTCAAGTGATTCTGCTGCTTCAGCCTCCTGAGTAGCTGGGATTACAGGAGCCAGTCACCATGCCTGGCTCTAAGTTTCTTTTCTTTCTCTCTCTTTCTAATTTTATTATTATTATTATTATTATTATTATTATTATTATTTTGAGACAGGATCTCACCCTGTCGCTCAGGCTGGAGTGTAGCGGCATAATCGTGGCTCACTGTAGCCTCAACCTCTCCAAACTCAGGTGATCCTCCCACCTCAGCCTCCTGAGTAGTTGGGACTACAGGCATACGTCACCATGCCAGGCTAATTTTTGTATTTTTTTGTAGAGACGGGTTCTGACTATGTTGCTCAGGTTGGTCTCAAACTCCTGAGCTCAAGTGATCTGCCCACCTTGGCCTCCCAAAGTGCTGGTATTACAGGCATGAGCTACCGTGCCCGGACTTTTTTATTTTTTTATTTTTATTTTTTATAGAGGCAGGGTTTTGCTATGTTGTCCAGGCTGCTCTCCAACTCCTGGTCTCATGCAACCCTCTTACTTCAGCCTTCCAAAGTGCTGGGATTATAGGCATGTGCCACTACACCTGGCCTAGTGTTCTTTCTTTCTTTTTCTTTTTTTTTCCTTTGAGGTAGGGTCTTACTTCCTTTGCCCAGGCTAGAGTGCAGTGGCTTGATCTCGGCTCATTGCGGCCTCAACTAACCAAGCTCACACGCTCTTCCCACCTCAGCTTCCCTAGTGTCTGGGATTACAGGCACGAGCCACCACACACAGGTAATTTTTTTTTGTATTATATTTTTAATAGAGACAGAGTTTTGTCACATTGTCCAGGCTGGTCTCAAACTCCTGAGCTCAAGGGACACACCCACCACGTCCTCCCAAGGTGCTAGGATTACAGGCAAGAGCCACCACACCCAGTTCAAGTTTTCTTTCTTGAGCACTAATTATTTTATTTTATTATTTTATTTTATTTTCTGAGATGGAGTCTTGCTTTGGTGCCCAGGCTAGAGTACGGTGGTGCGATCTCGGCTCACTGCAACCTCTCCACCTTCCAGGTTCAAGTGATTCTCCTGCCTCAGTCTCCTGAGTAGCTGGGATTACAGACATGCACCTGGCTAATTTTTGTATTTTTAGTAGAGACGGGATTTCACCATTTTGGCCAGGCTGGTTTTGAACTCCTGACCTCAGGTCATCTGCCCGCCTTGGCCTCCCAAAGTGTTGAGATTACAGGCGTGAGCCACTGCGCCTGGCCCACTTGAGCATTATTTTTAACAGGTAAGAAAATCAATACTTAAAAAAATTTTTTTTGGCCCAACTTTGCAATTTGGGCAGATGGGAAAAAAAGTCTTGAGGAGGCTAAGTTCAGTAAGTGGAAAAGACAGTAAAACAGAGATGCAGAGAGTGGTGGCAGCGGGCATTGAGAACCAGCAACACTGGTTGAAAAGGAAGCTGTGAAGAGCTGTAAAAACCACAGGTGAATGCAGCCCGAAATAAAATTGCCGAGCTTGGCTGGCTGGGTGTAAGGTAGATAGAGAAGGTCAGGAAAGGTTTGCTGGGGTTACTCAAGGTCATTGGGTAGTGGGCCTTAAATTAATTGATCTTATTGTTTTTTCTAGTCCTAACCATACTGAGATTGATTTTAGAAGAGGACAGCTTGAGCAGTCATTTCTCTCACTATGGCCAGGGTCCAGGGCCTGTGTCTAGTGGGTGTTGGTTCCCAGGCTGTGGAATGATGATGGAAAAGGATTGCTAGGACTGTAACAGGAGTTGATGAAGTGGCAAACTGGAAAGAGCCTATACTTTGGAGTGAGGGAGCACTGCTTTTAAATCTTCTCTCTGTCCCTTACCAGCCATGTTGACCCTGAACAAGTAACTAACCACCTAGTGCAAGATCAAAGGCCCCTTGAAAGTAGTGAATTAGGGAAAGTATAGTAAGTATGGCAATAAATTATGCTTTCACAAACAAAAACAGAAAATAAAAGTTCTGGACGGGCGCGGTGGCTTATGCCTGTAATCCTAGCACTTTGGGAGGCCAAGGCAGGCTGATCACTTGAGGTCAGGAGTTCGAAGCCAGTCTGGCCAACATGGTGAAACCCTGTCTCTACTAAAAATACAAAAAAATTAGCTGGGCGTCGTGGCAGATGCATATAATCCCAGCTACTCAGGAGGCTTGAGGCAGGAGAATCGCTTGAACCCGGGTGGCAGAGGTCTGCAGTGAGCTCAGACTGCCCCACTGCACTTCACCCTGGGCCACAGAGCAAGACTCTGTCTCAAAAAAAATTTAAATTTAAATTTTAAAAAACCATAATATGAAATTTTTAAAAAATGAAAGTTCTTAAAAGCAACTGCTTTGAACAAACACAGTTGATTAAACTAAAAACCCTGCTATAACACCTTCTATTGTCCAGGAAACCTTGCTGTCAGGGCAGGTTTCCCCACAAGTCTTATAAACACAAGTTTTTAAATCAGCCATTTCTGACTTGAGATTAAGTCTTTCATACATATGGTATTTGTTTTCTTACACCCTTGTTTTAGTTTCACAAGTCTTGGCAACTGTCAGGTCTTTTCACAAAGTTCTCTAGTGTTTGAAGGCATGTTTTTTGGGGGCCTGGCCTTCTGTGCAGATGGAAAACACCTCTTTTTTTTTTTTTTTTTTTTGAGATGGAGTTTTGCTTTTGTCTCCCAGGCTATGGCTTACTGCAACCTCCGCCTCCCAGGTTCAAGCGATTCTCCTGCCTCAGCCTCCTAAGTAGCTGGGATTACAGGCGGCTGCCACCACACCCGGCTAATTTTTTTTTTTTGAGACAGAGTCTTGCTCTGTTGCCCAGGCTAGAGTGCAGTGGCACAATCTAAGCTCACTGCAACCTGCACCTCCTGGGTTCAAGCAATTCTCTGCCTCAGCCTCTCGAGTAGCTGGGATGACAGGGGCCTGCTATGAAGCCTGGCTAATTTTTTTGTATTTTTAGTAGAGACAGGGTTTCATCATGTTGGCCAGACTGGTCTGGAACTCCTGACCTTCTGATCCACCCACCTCGGCCTCCCAGAGTGCTGGGATTATAGGCGTGAGCTATGTGCCCAGACACACCTGGCTAATTTTTGTAATTTTAGTAGACACGGGGTTTTGCCATGTTGGCCAGGTTGGTCTCAAACTCCTGACCTCAGGTGATCTGCCCACCTCGGCCTCCCAAAGTGCTGGGATTACAGGCATGAGCCACTGCACCCAGCCCCAAACCCCCTTTAACAAGCAGTGGTTGGCAAGTTATCAAGACCATGGATTTTGGAGCCAGGTTACATCTCCTGGGTTTGAATATAGGCTTCATCATTTCCTAGCTGTAAGACCTTGGGCAGCCGGGCATGGATGTGTAATCCCAGCACTTTGGGAGGCTGAGGTGTGGGAATCACCTGAGGTCAGGAGTTCAAGACAAGCCTGGCCAACATGGTGAAATCCTGTCTCTACTAAAAATACAAAAATTAGCTAGGTGTGGTGGCGGGCGCCTGTAGTCCCATCTACTTGGGAGTCTGAGGCACGAGAATCACTTGAACCTGGGAGGCGGAGGTTGCAGTTAGCTGAGATCCCGCCACTGCACTCCAGCTTGGGAAACAGAGCAAGACTCCGTCTCAAAAAAAAAAAAAAAATGACCTGTGGCAAATTACTTTTTCCTACATCCTAAGGTAATTGTGATAATTAAATGAAGTAATATGTGTAAAGCCCTTAGAACTTTACAATATTTGTAAAACCCTTAGAAGTTATAAAAATTATTTAATATTTAAATAATTTAATGAATGTATTTAATTCGTTAAGTATTATGTATAAATATAAAATTATTTTATATTTGTAAAGCCCTTAAGAACCGTGCCTGGCACACAGTAAAGCTCTGTTTGCAAATAATATTTTGGCTCACCAGTAGACCACTAGTTCATACTGCTTGATGATAAGCTAATCCGCCTCATTCATCCTTGACCCCCTAAACAGGTCTATGACTTGGTTGCTAGGAAGGTGCGTTGACTTTATTAGCAGTAATAGTGATATGTCCTTTTACCAGTCAATTGCATGGACCAGTATTTATAGGGAAGTTTGAGCCCTGCCGCAGAGGGGTTAAATGATAGGAAAATGCCTGCCATTTTCACATGCTGTTACAACCAGGCAGTAAAAGTCCTCAGAAGTTAAATTTTAAGTAATCAGACTGGCCACTTCCCTTCCCCTGGGAATGCAGTTGGGATGGAGGGCTCTGTCTCCAGTTGGAAAGAAATCCTAAGTCCCCTCCTGTGTGGACACCAGACAACAGGTATCCCAGGGCCCTCTCGTTGCCCAGCAATACTGTGAAATGAAGACACCCTCAAGTCACATTTGAAATCATTCCGGGTTCTTCCAGTTCAGCACCTTGGCTGTTTTCCTCTTCACTGGGAAGGTGCTAGCAGCCTAACGGCCTTTTAGGTTTCTTTTAAGTTTGGGGCATCTGAAACCCGGTTAAGGTGCGGCGGGTAGTGTACCTCATTCGAAGAATACCCCCAATTCACCAGACGAGCCCCTAATTGTGGGTGCGGGGCCGGGCGCTCTTTCGTCCCCCCTTCCACCAGCACTACCCTCAGTTCTGCTTCTAGCCACGCCCTTTCGCGTTCACGTCCAGCGTCCCGGCAGGATTGATTGAGGACGACTGGACTGCCATTACGCCTGCGCAAGGAGCCCAAGGCTAGAGCCGCTAGGCTGCCCTGCCCGAAGGGCTCAACTGTCAGTGAGCCTGCGCAGGAGGCTAATAGGCTGCCAATACTGCTTGGACTCCCCGCCAGGGCCCTGCTGTCAGTGCGCCTGCGCGCGGGCCAGGCGCCGAGGTTCTTGACTTTGCTGTGCTGGACGCCGGGTGTAGCCATGCAGCAAGCCGACTCCGACCAGCCCTCCAAGCGTCCCCGTTTCGATGACAGCCCAAGAACCCCCTCAAACACCCCTTCCGCAGAGGCAGACTGCTCCCCGGGCCTGGAACTCCATCCCGACTACAAGACATGGGGTCCGGAGCAGGTGTGCTTCTTCCTCAGGCGCGGTGGCTTTGGAGAGCCGGCGCTGCTGAAGAACATCCGAGGTAGCGGCTCCGGAGGGGCTGAGGGGCGAGGGGCGGCGACCTGGGGCGCGGGCCAGGCGCCCTAAGGGAGGGGGCCCCACGAGAGGACCCAGGCCGGGGAGCGAGCCCTGCGGCGGGAGGCGCCCGGGAGGGCGGACCTGCGCTGGGGGCGCGGAGGGAGGGAAGACCCGAGGCGGGGAAGGGAGCCCTGCGGCGGGGGTTCCCAGGAGGGCCTGCGGCATGGGGCGCCCGGGACTGACTCCCCGAGGCTGAGGAAGAAGACATGGGGTCGCCTGGGGTAGGCGATCCGTAGGATGGGAGCAGGCTGCCAGGATTGAGGACCTAGGAGGGGCAGTAATAGATTGGGATCTCACTCTGGTGGGTTTCTTCACTAACTTGCCACCCCGGCGCCGGACAGGCGAGACTCGGGTCCCTTTTTTTTTAGTTAGAAGGAGATTTTTCCCCAGACCTTGGTGGGCGGCTTGCTGTCATCCAGGCTCGCGGGACCCCTCCGCGCTAACCGCAGCTCCTTGAACACTTGCCACATCAGAGGATGTTCTGGGGCTTTTAGGTTTCTGTTTCCTCCCTGAATTGAGGCTTTTCCTGAAGAGGAAGGAACTGGCTTGGTTAATCTCTGAATTCCCGTCACCTTCCTTGGCATCCCAGTAGCGCCCGATGGGCGTGTGTTGACTGCACTTGCAGAACATAGTAAGGATCGTGTTTTGCTCTTTAAAAGCAGGTTCCCCTCCAAAATCTGAACCCTGGAGTTGTTCAGTTAACCCCTTAATTCCCAGCATGCCACAATTGGCCACATCACCTGGAGAAGTGTTTAGGTTGAGTTTTAAGCACATTTTACTGATTCGTGTCCAAGCATCCATCCTTGTGAAGTCTGCTCAACTTTTTAAGGTGGATGTGAGATTTGACTCCTGCCTTATATCCTCTAGGTGTTCAATAGGAAGGTGGTTCTTTGGTGGTTGGGATTTGCAAATTTAGTAAATTTTTGCATTTGTTAGGTGGAGCCCTGTTTGGCTAGGTTGGAAACTGGGGTAGGAGGAACATTAGTGGTTCAGGACCCAAAGATAGCTTGAATGGGTATGGGAAATTGCATTTCTCCTTTTTTCTTTTTTTTCCCCCTTTTGCCCTTTCGTTTCCCTTCACTGCTGGGATGGATTATTGCTTTATTTTCTTTGACTAGCAACAAGTGGAGTGAAGTAGTTCCAAATTTTCTGTCTCAGAATGTGGTTGGCTTTCTGTTTCAGTGGTCTGTAGATTAACTTGTTACCCTCCAGAATGGTGTGTGTTCTCTTGAACCCACAACCCAGTGCTATCAAAGACACTATGTGCTTTCATTTGGTAAAAACTGACCAACTGTTCCCAGTTGCTCATGTCTTACCTTCTGCTTTGTCTTGACCAAACTTTATTCGGACTTCTGTCTTCCCTTATGAGCCCCTCAACTCTTGCTTACCCCCAGATCTGAGCAGGCAGGCCCTAAAGCAGTGCAATATGCGTCCCTCTGGTCAGTTTCGTTTGAGAACTGACTGACCACAGTAGGATGCTGTCCTGTTGGGCTACACTGCTCATTTTCCCTTGCTCATCCAGGTTCCCTTCCAAAGATTCTGCTTACTTCTGCTTGCCCATCCTTTACCATTATAAAAGAAGACCATTTTTCTCTTAGATTCTTTTTTTTTTTTTTTGAGATGGAGTCTTGCTCTGTTGCCAGGCTGGAGTGCAGTGGCGTCATCTGGGCCCAGTGCAACCTCTAACTGCCTGGTTCAAGCGATTCTCCTGCCTCAGCCTCCCAAGTAGCTGGGATTACAGGCATGCACCACCATGCCCAGCTAATTTTTTTTGTATTTTTAGTAGAGATGGGGTTTCACCATGTTGCCCAGGATGGTCTCCATCTCCTGACCTCCTGATCCGCCTGCCTTAGCCTCCCAAAGTGCCGGGATTACAGGCGTGAGCCACTGCACCCGGCCTGTTTTTTTTTTGTTTTTTTTTTTTAATTAGAGACAGGGTTTTGCCATGTTGGCCTGGCTGGTCTCAAACTCTTGGCCTCGAGTGATCATCCGCCTGCCTCGGCCTCCCAAAGTGATGGGATTACAAGTGTGTGCCACTGCGCCCAGCCTCCCTTTGATGCTTGGGCCTCTGTTTGATTCTTTTTTTAAGTTTCTTTTTTTTTTTTTTTTTTTTGAGATGGAGTCTGGCTCTGTCGCCCAGGCTGGAGTGCAGTGGCCAGATCTCGGCTCACTGCAAGCTCCGCCTCCCGGGTTTACGCCATTCTCCTGCCTCAGCCTCCCGAGTAGCTGGGACTACAGGCACCCGCCACCTCGCCCAGCTAGTTTTTTTGTATTTTTTAGTAGAGACGGGGTTTCACCGTGTTCGCCAGGATGGTCTCGATCTCCTGACCTCGTGATCCGCCCGTCTCGGCCTCCCAAAGTGCTGGGATTACAGGCTTGAGCCACCGCGCCCGGCTTCTTTTTTTTTTTTTTTTTCCTGAGACGGAGCCTTGCCCTGTCACCCAGGCTAGAGTGCATTGGCACAATCTTGGCTCACTGCAACCTCTGCTTCCTAGGTTCAAGGCAGTTCTCCTGCCTCAGCCTCCCGAATAGCTGGGTTTACAGGTGCACGCCACCACACTCAACTAATTTTGTAATTTTAGTAGAGATAGGGTTTCACCATGTTGGCCAGGCTGGTCTTGAACTCCTGACCTCAAGTGATCCATCCACCTCTGCCTCCCAAAGTGCTGGGATTACAGGCTTGAGCCACCTCACTCGGCCTTTTTTTTTTTTTTTTTTTGAGACAGTCTCGCTCTATAACCGGGCTGGAATGCAGTGGTGTGATCTCGGCTCACTGCAATCTCTGCCTCCTGGGTTCAAGCAATTCTTCTCCCTCAATCTCCTGAATAATTGGGACTACATGTGCCCACCACCATGCCCGGCTCATTTTTGTATTTTTAGTGGAAATGGGGTTTCACCATGTTGGCCAGGATGGTCTTAATCTCTTGACTGGATGATCCACCTGCCTTGGTCTCCCAAAGTGCTGGGATTACAGGTGTGAGCCACTGCGCGTGACCAGAAATATTTCGTCTTTTTTTTTTTTTTTTGAGACGGAGTCTCGCTCTGTCCCCCTGGCGGGACTCGCATGCAGCTGGGGTCGATCTCTGCCTCACCCCTGCAGGCCCGCCCTCCCGGCATGTCTATTCCATCTGTCCCCCGTCTCCCTCCATGCTGGGTCTGGCCAGGCTTTTGAGACGGAGTCTCGCTCTGTCCCCCTGGCGGGACTGCAGTGGGGCGATCTTGGCTCACTGCAAGCTCCGGCTCCCAGGATCATGCCATTCTCTTGCCTCAGCCTCCTGAGTAGCTGGGACTACAGGCGCCCGCCACCGCGCCCAGCTAAGTTTTTGTATTTTTAGTAGAGATGGGGTTTCACCGTGGTCTCGATCTCCTGACCTTGTGATCCGCCCGCCTCGGCCTCCCAAAGTGCTAGGATTACAGGCGTGAGCCACCGCGCCCGGCCCCGTCTTTCTTTCTAATAGTTTCCCTTGGCTGGGAGTGGTGGCTCACACCTGTAATCCTAGCACTTTGGGAGGCCGAGGCAGGCAGATCACCTGAGATCAGGAATTCAAGCCCAGCCTGGCCAACATGGTGAAACCCCGTCTATACTAAAAATACATAATTTAGCCGGGCATGGTGGTATGTGCCTGTAGTCCCAGCTACTTGGGAAGCTGAGGCAGGAGAATCACTTGAACCCAGGAGGGGGAGGTTGCAGTGAGCCAAGATCGCACCACTGCACTCCAGCCTGGACAACAGAGTGAGACTCCATCTCAAAAAAAAAAAAAAAAGTCTCTCTTTATCTAAGTCCAATTTTTTTTTTTTTTTTTTTTTTTGACAAGCCAAGCACAAGGTACAGTGTCCCTTTTCTCATTATGGAATACAGCCTCACAAGAAGTCTGAAATAAGTTGCTATACTCAACACATTTTACCATTGACGTATGCGAGGTCCAAAGATGTAAAGTAACTTTTCAGAGATCACACCACTACAAAAAAGAGCTAGATTTTTTAAGGTTAGGTCTTTGGACTCCAGAACTCATATGATCTATACCTTAACAAGCGTTCTCATCAAAAACCACTGGAGGCCTGGCCCAGTAGCTCACACTTATAATCTCAGCACTTTGGGAGGCCAATGTGGGAAGATCACTTGAGCCCAGGAGTTCAAGACCAGCCTGGGCAACATCAGGAGACCTCAACTTTACAAAAAATATAATAAATAAAAAATTAGCTAGGTGCAGTGGTACACACCTGTGGTCCCAGCTACTCAGGAGGCTGAGGCAGGAGGATCACTTGAGCCCAGGAGGTCAAGGCTGCAGTGAGCTGTGATCACACCACTGCACTCCAACCTGGGCAACAAAGCAAAACCCTGTCTCAAAGAAAATAAAATAAAAGAAAATAGCCCAGAGTTCTGGAATTTGAGGTCAGGAAAGATTAGAATTAATTGTATAGAAAGAGAAAGGAAAAAACCCAACTATACACACACATACACACATAGAGAGAGAGAGAGAGAGAGAGAGATAGGACTCTCTCAAATCACGGAGTATTGAGTGCTTTCCCAGGAGGTTTGAGAAAAATCAACACTTTAAGCACTCTTGAATCCGTGGTTTTAACTTGTTAATTCTAAGAACAATAGACTTACATTTCCTTCCCTCCCCAACTCAAACCTTTCCTGTTTAAAAGGAAGCTGCTGACCTGGCAAAACCCCAACAGGTAGTCAGGTTTCACTTTCCTTTTTGCAACTGGTTTTTCTTGGAACTAATTTACACAAATAATTTTGAAATTTTCACGTGATTTATCAAAAAATGCTTCTTGGTTTAGTTATTTAATTAAAATTAAGTCTTTACAAGTAGCAGATCAAAAAAGTGGTACTTGGCACAGTCCATTGCCTGTAGTGGGTACTCTATTATGTGGATCTGGGTAAATGTTGGTGGATCCAAATTGAAAGAAAATGAAAAGCATATGTTGTATACA